CGCCGCATTGTTGACCACGTGTGATAGATAATTTCGTAGTGTATAAACTGTTCTAGCTCGACACTAATGCATATTCTATTGTTGTTTAAATCTTCGTGTTTTTTTCTCCTTACTATTCATTGAAACTGCATTGTTCGAAATTCGTTTCTAAGATTTGTTGATATTCGATTCGACGGTTTCGATTTTTCCACCCGCCATGTGCCGTGTCACCGACTCCATTCAATTCCGATCACAACAATATTCTATTTTTAGTTTACTATTTAGTTTACCATTGTGATTAACGAATGTAATTTATAATTTAATTATCTTTCGTTGTAATTTTACAGTCGTTATCAACGGCGCGACCGCTTGTTACGGTCTGGACCGACAAAAATGAGGCCTCGGGAGATACGATCTCTCTGCCGGCCGTTTTCAAAGCCTCAATTCGACCAGATATTGTGAATTTCGTTCATCAGCAAGTCTCAAAGAACAGCAGACAGCCATATTGTGTATCTAAGGAAGCTGGTGAGTGGTCTATTAACAAATCGGGACAATATAGATTGAACTTCGTACAACGCAATCAAAAAATTCCTAACAAATAATGAAAAATTAATTTCAACTTTGCCCTGTAAATTCTTTTCTCGTAAGAAATTTGTTGATTGTATTAAATGTGATTCTACTATGCTATAATGTTAAGTTCTTTTTAAAGAACTAATTACAGAATTATTAAATATAGGTTTCTTTTAATAGGTCACCAAACCTCTGCCGAATCATGGGGTACCGGACGTGCTGTAGCACGTATCCCCCGTGTTCGTGGTGGTGGTACTCACCGTTCTGGACAGGGTGCCTTTGGTAACATGTGTAGAGGTGGTCGCATGTTTGCTCCTACAAAACCCTGGAGACGTTGGCACCGAAAGATCAATGTAAACCAGAAGAGATACGCACTGGTTTCTGCCATTGCTGCGTCTGGTGTTCCAGCTCTGGTACAATCCAAGGGTAAGCATCAAGTCACAACGTCAATTACTTCTCTCATATAACTTTATTGGTATGATGAATCGCTTGGTCCGTGTTGCTGATTGTTCACTGATTATATTTATAGCATTTTACTGGACGGTTTTACAAAATGTTGAATTATGTTCTCTCGATCTAGAACAGTTTTATATTAGCATTTATTTGCAGGTCATATGATCCAAGAAGTTCCAGAATTTCCCCTAGTAGTTTCTGACAAAATCCAAGAATATAACAAAACAAAGCATGCTGTTATTTTCTTGAGACGTATGAAGGCATGGAACGATATCCAGAAGGTGAGTGTATTTCCGCATAAGCTCGTTGCATGCGCACTGTAGAATGTCCGCAGCCTTGTTAAGAAACGTTTAACTCGGATGCTCCATCAGGTGCTAGAGAAATATGGTTGTCAGGCGTTCTTGACTAGTTAGTTTACTCACTAGAATGGGGTATAGATGACCAAACAAAAGCACAATGAATACTCTGTATCGATGTGCAAGAAAATAACTTTCCTTTTACTTATAGGTATACAAATCTCAACGTTTCCGTGCCGGTAAGGGTAAGATGCGTAACCGCAGACGCATCCAGCGTCGTGGACCTTTGATCGTGTACGGTGAAGACAAGGTATTAATCAAATGTAGAAACAAACACTTCATTCTATAGTTCAATTAACTAATAATTTGTTCGCCATTAGGGTATTCGTAAGGCGTTCCGCAACATTCCTGGCATCGACCTCATGAACATCAATAAAGTGAACCTTCTGAAATTGGCACCCGGTGGTCACGTTGGACGCTTTGTAATCTGGACGAAGTCCGCTTTCGACAAACTGGATGCTCTTTACGGAACTTGGCGCAAGGAATCGCAACTGAAAGCTAACTACAACTTGCCGTTCCCTAAGATGGCAAACACAGACTTGTCGAGGCTTCTGAAATCCGAGGAAATTCGCAAAGTCCTGAGAGCGCCAAGGCATGTGCTTCACCCCTTTTAATAATTTGCATTTTTTATTTAGAACTCTTAAATGATGAGAATATTTGGTCCGTGTTACTGACTGACAGTGATAATTTTATTTCAAATACTGAGGAAATAAATAACGATAAAAATAAATAAAACAATGATAAAGGAAACAAATAACGATACATAATTTCCATTTACAGGAAGAGGGTGGTGCGCAGCGTGAAGAAACTGAACCCATTGTCCAACACCCGTGCAATGTTGCGTCTGAACCCATACGCCGCTGTACTGAAACGCGCTGCAATTTTGACAGCGCAGAGACGTCAACAGGAGAGAGACCTTATCCTGGCCGAGAAGCGTGGCGTAAGTATTATCTTTTACTGCCTGATTTGAACGCTAGAGTCTCGTTAATATAAACGTTTCTTATGCACAGATCAAGCTTCCAAAGAACGCTCCCTGCGTCAAATCGAAGTTGCTGCAAGAAAGACGCAGGAAACAGATGTTGGCTGCCAAGTTAGCCAAACCGAAGAAGCCAGAGACCGCAAAGAAGGCGGCAACAACCGCGGCTAAGCCAACGAAAGTCCCGAAGACTAAAGCGGCGAAAGCTCCGAAGGCTAAGGCGGCGGAAACCCCGAAGACCAAGGCGGCGGAAACCTCGAAGACTAAGGCGGCGGAAACTCCGAAGGCTACAAAGCCCGCAGAGGAGCCCAAGAAATGAATTTTTGTCGTCGATGCGTTGTTGACCCACTAGCTTTATTTGTTTTCAATAAAAGATGGGAAGACAACTGTAGGATGACGGCCTTGTATTTGATCTCCATCACCTGCGACGAGGATACAATGTAATCGGAAATACATGCACGCCATCACCGTCGACTATTTTTTCTTAAGCGGGGCGCGCACGATGATTTTGTCGTTGAGCACTTCCACCGACACTTTTCTCGTGTTCGCCTCCGGTGGCATCTGAAAATTCAGGTTTCTGACACGCGACCAGTCCTGCGAACTGTGCAACTTTATGTTCAACGTGTTCTCGGTAGCCAGGGCAGCCGCTCCCACCTTCAAACCCTCCATCTTCATCTCTGCCTATAATTAGGATGATATTGTAATGCGACGGTGAAAAAAGAAAAGAATTTGTTAGACGAACGTACAGCGTAGCACTCTTTATTGTCAATGATGTAAAAATTCGGAGCTTTGTGAAACTTTAGGCTCGTCTTAACTCCGTTCGATGCCATGTCGAAGTTTATGTAATCGTTCTGCATCAAGGTAGTCGCGTTCTCGAGGCAATGCGGAGGCAAATTGTCCATGACAACTGAGTTGAATTTACGATCGAGGGAAAAGTGTTAAAAGAAAACCGTGCCGAATGTCGGGGCTTTGAATCGTGACAGTGAGCGTTCATTTGTCTCTTCGTCGTGTCTCGATTGCCGACAGCTTCACGTGTAATTGTTGTGAATCTTCAGCTTTTCGAAATTATCATTTTCCTAGCTCTGCTAGGTTTTAACCAGGGCGCCGTGAGAACCAGCATTCTCTGCTTGTTGTCCACGACAGCGCGAACCTTCTCGCCGTCTATGTTGTCCGGGATCAGCAGGTTCTCGCAGTGCTTCATGGTCCGTTTGACCAGATCACCGAGTACCGACTTCTCGCTGATCTCGGGCAGTTGGCTGGCCAACTGGTTGTTCAGCGGTTTGCACGCATTCACGCGAAGGTTGTTGCCCTTTACGGTGATTTTGATGGTTGACATGTCCACATCCGGCGCCAGCATCATCCTCGCCTGAGGGAAAATACATTTTATAATCGTACAACTCTTGTTAGCCAGCCGTTCGAACATTAATTTTGCGATCCGATGACTGACCTCGTACACATTGTCGGGCCTAATTCCTATGGAGACCATCTGCATGGCGTATCCTGTTTCCGGTGGCTTCACAGGCACTTTTACGGGCTCGGGTCGCGGGTTCACCGACGCCGGGCCAGATTTCTTCAAGAACCTGAGCGAGGTCGAGCATTTTGGGCAGTGACCAGTGTCCAGAACCACGTCCCCTTCGCACTTTATGCATTGACTACCCTTTTTGTCCATTTTACAGAGCCGGAGACGAGCGATGTCATCGCACCGGAGTCATCAAGAATCGCGAAGAGGATTCGGTGTAGATCCTGGCCTTGAGACCAGATGCTGCGACCGTTTCTGAGAATTTTACGAGGTGGCAGATTTCGGAAGATGAACGGGGGTTTACTTGTCAATTTGGATGTTGCATAGTGACAGGAGACTGTCGAAACAGTAGAACGCTAGAAAGGTTCAAGCTATTAGGTACTGTTCCATGAAATGAATTTTTAATTCTATGAAACCGTATCATTAAGAGCTTGTATACTTTCTCCGATTTCTTCGAGGTTTATACAATTCGGTATTTCTCCGAGAGAACAGCAATCGAAATCCGTGAGAAATTGTATAAAATTCAAGATAATCAGAGAAAACATACATCTATTTATTAAAACACAATTTCTCGTCGCGGACCTCGTCACATTTTAACCGCGAATTTTTATTTTATTTTTTAGTTGTCACCCGAGAATAATGCTAACAGGGAAACGTGCATCGGGTTTTTGTTGAAGTATAAATACGGAAGAAGGATCCGAGGATTGCTCGAGGTTTTCGTCCGTCCGGAGAGGCAAATATTTCACGGCAGACCGCAGCCTCGTTAATTATCATTGTTGCGGTTAATCGAGTGTCGATCGGTAGTAGTATCGAACGAACAGGACTAGACAGACGAGGGACGGAACCGGTTAGTTTGTTTAACATTCGTGTCTGTATTGTTTGAAACGCCTGCGCGAATTTCCTTGGGATTGGACGCGTTGTGGTAGGGGTAGCGCGGGATTCAGGGTCGAAATTGCACGGTGGTTGAAAAGCATTGGACACCAGTCGAGGACAGGCGGTCTCGCGTTTAAGTGGTCCATCAATTCCATGTCGCCTTTGGCCCTGTTCTTTCATTACGGAGTTTTGGCCATCACTTTCGGTTGCGGTGAGTCTTCATCCCTCAACGTTTCCACCCTTTTTACTCCGTGTTTTCGTCCGACCGTAACCACACACGTTCGCGTTACTTTTATTTCGCGAGCGTTCGTTTTATAAATTGACTGATCTCATCAACTGGCGCACGGTCTTATTATTAATTTTCAACGCCCGGGAGAATTTTTTGCGAAAAAGCTTTGGAAGTTACAAATTTTCTTTCCAGAAGATCAAGGTAAAAACGTTTACGTTGTTTATTTGCATCTCTTTACCTCGCCGATTCGCTTGATTCTAACGAAGTAATAAACAGTGTTATAACATTATTGTCAGCGATTAAAATAGACGGTGGTAATTTACAAAATAATTTGATCCCCCGTGCAACTGATAACGGAGAAAGAGTAGTTCAGCCAATTACTAGATATTACAACCAACGCGATTGATAATTGCGCCTGTTCACAAGTGTGTTACGAGTTCGAGCGAATTTCGCGAAGCTGTCCGATCGCACGGTGACTCGAGATTTACGTTGTCGCATGCGTGTATCCATTCTTTTCACCGCTGTACCCATGTTTACGTTCGCACGAAACACGTTTATTTCTCAATTAAATCGATCGGTCGCTGGTAGTCGTGCCGTACCGTCTCCGATCAATCGTCCGTAAACTTGAATCGTTAGATACGCCGACCAGCACCATTAAGTTCGCTGAAACGAGATAAGAGACATTAGCGAGGGAGGCAGGGCGGTGCCGTTTTAATCTGCGATCGGTTACGAGATTCGATCGCGATGCGTAGCCGAGAGATCGAGTCGCCGATCGTCGAGGTAAAACGTCGATTAAGGACGCCGGCTTCGCGACGATTAAGGCCAATTTCTTCTGTCCATTCGGTAATTGGATTTACCCGCAGCAGGATTTCCGCGGCGGTGGCTTCGTGGTCGATTGAGTTTCTTCGAAAAATTTTCCCGCCTGCGAGCAGACACCGGTCTACTACTCGGATACCGAGGTTCGATCCAGCGATCCTTAAATCCTCGACGACACCGATCGGTATCGCCTCATGAATATTTTCCGCGGGCGACGTTTAATCTGTCCTCGGATGAAACATAATTCCTCCACGCTAATTCGGATGTACCGTGGGCACGGGGTAAAAGCCTGTAGAATGCAAATATCGGCTCGTATGCTCGCATAATGATGTAGCACCGTAATACATCCGGGACCATCAATCCTGGGGACTCGCGTTGCTTTTCCCGCTTTCAACTGGCGGATTAATTTAGACGCTATTAAATTCTTCGCGTGCCTCCGTGTCGCAATTTTTGTAAGATTAATGTAGTAACTTTATTGGGCCTGTATCTCGTTCCCTCGCAGGAGACGTTATTTCGCAAAAAAAGAATTCCTCAAGCTTTCTGCTTTACTTAAATTAATTTAGAGACCGCTAGGTTCTTAATTTAGAGATCGTAATTCGGTGCTCTGTAGTGAAACTCTTGTAAGATAAACCGCCTAGTTTTGGCGATTTTGTCTCTGGTAAGTCTTGCAGGAGAATCATTCTGGAAAAATCGTCTGAAAATCATTTTCGTAGAATTGCAGATAGCAAAGAAAAATAGTAAAGTAACGGTAGACCGGTGCGGACGGTTTCTGGGTATTCGATAAGGGTCACAGAAGTTTGTTATCGAACGTTTACCTTGGTCCTGCGGTGTAAACGTTTGCAGACGTCGCGGCGAGGGCGGGAGCCGTCTCAACCCCTAATTCGCGACAGGTACATCGTCGGGATTTGCATACTCGCCCCCAGAAATTCCCGAAGTCCGTCGGAGTGCGTCGAGCCCGCAGATCGATCTGTTTGTTTACGCCGCTACGTCGAAATTATCGGTTAAACGGTGGAATTACCGATCGCCGGAAGATCCTCGGGCTGGCGAAGGGAACTTCGGCGAAAGTTAAACACCCTTAGCTCGTCTTCTCCATTAGCCGGATTAAGCTGTCTCCGAGGGCTTCCTGGAATTTTAGGTGGCTGCGAAAAAGTTTCGAGACCTCTGATAACTGCGGGAATCTGCGCTGCAATCATATACAGGACCTACAACTGTTGCAGGACAAAATTTTGTATACTTGAAAGTACGAAGGAGCAGGATCGAAGAAAAATTATAGGAGCTTGTTTTAAAATATGTAGTAGGACGTGTACAGGAAAAAATTGTAGGACTTTCGAAAGGCACAGGCTTAAGAAAAATTACCGGGGCTTGTTAAAAAATATCGCAGGACCTATGAGGGTTGCGGAGCTCGCAGAAAAATTGTAGGTATTTTGGAAGACGCTGTAAGGATTCGGAAAAATTATATGGCGACGCTAAAAATATGTTACAGGATTTATAAATATCGTAGAGAGGAAATTATAGGTTCCGCAGAGGATTTACGGAGAAGTTGCTAGGCACGTAAAAATTGTGTACGAAGATTGCAGGCTTTGCTGAGAAATTATAGGATCTGTGGAAGAACATTAGCAGGGATAAAGGTACCAGGCGCCTATAAATCCCATAAATCCTTCTCTTTATTCGACGATATTTTCATCTTGTTACCATTTTTCAGCCCTTTCCCTTTGTCCTCGTGGGCGGCGTTCACGCATGACAAGGACCCAGTCGGCCCGCAGTCTTTCTCTCTGTCTTCCAATTTGCCTCATCAACCTCTCATCTAAAACGCATTTCCTGCAGCATCGACGAACCGCGACGGTCCAAAACGTAGAAGAAACAAGCCGCGATAAAGCCGCCAGAGAAAAACGCTTCCGTTCGCGGATGAAACTAGGCACCCGGGGAACTTAAACGCGCTGAAAGCAACGGGAAGAAATATCAGCGGAACACGAAACGCCATTAGGATCCGCGGGATTTTCCGGGAAAATCCGACAGATATCTCGATCTGACGCGGTGGGTGGCACGGGGCTCTATTCCGGCGGTCGGGATAGCATCCCGAAGAGCTTTCGCGGATGAAAGAGAGCCTGATCGGGCGTTTATGCGACAGCTCGTGTGCCCGCAAGAATGAAGAGCGTTGTGCATTTCGGCCGCGTATCGTTCCATCGATCGCATCGATGACCGATTCAGGAGTTCCCCGGCGTTGCATTCCGAATGCAACCGGGGTTCAGGGACACTCCAGCCCCGGCTGTTGTCAAACTCGAAGCTCGAGTGGCCCCGACTCTATCGGGCGATCTTCCTTTAGCGCTTTTATTCCCCTTGTTAGCTTTTTTTAATAATGCTGCTCGTTAACGCGGGTCTGCGATATACATACCTCTCGATTTTTATTTAGTCGAGTCGATTTAAACTCAAACGAGAACTCCTGATGGAATTCCGATACCGGGAAACAAAAGCCTGGAGGCACGAAAAACGTATCAACAGCCGTAGGGCTCGGCTGAAGTTTCGTTTATTTCATTCGTTATTTGCAAAGCAAAATGGCCCCGCGTACAAGCTGTTCTTTAAACATTTTATTTGCGCGTCCGTGTCCAGACCGCGGGGTATTCTTTCCCGTAGCGATTCGTTATGAAATCAAAATTCCACGGGAACTCGGCGTCCTAACTTCGACGAGGTTTATCGACGGCGTTAATTAGCATAGCCTTGTTACAGCGGCGGCGGATGCTGAAGTTTTCAACAATAAGGGTCGCTTGTAACAATCGTTCGCGACGGTATGCCGACGAAGTAGCTAACTGGATTTCCAGCTTCTGGGAGAATTTTGCCGGGAACTTTTCTGCGAAATTGCAAAACGTAGGCTGCATTGAAACGGTTGAATTCGGGGGAGACCTTGTCCGGGACGGTGTTCGCCGATTAAAGGAGCGCGCAGCAGATTTGGCATTTTATTCTCGTCGGCGGATTGTCACGGTTTTCTAGAGTGAAATCGGACGCGTTAGGAACGCGGCGCGTAAAGCGTAGAGAATCGCGGAATTTTCGACGGCGGCGGAACCTCCTCGCGCTCCGATTCCGCCGAATGCGAAACTGGCCACTGGAAAACGCCGTAACACCGAATGGGATTTCCGGTTTTTCGCGCTCTTTTCCCGGCCGTTCTTCGGGCTGCTCGATTCCGGCCATCGATCGAGTGTTCTCGAGCGATAAAAGTGCCCATTTTCGCTCGAGACGATCTCGCAATGAACGATTCCCGCGAACCGTCCGGCGGAAAGCGGATTTCCACGGTGTAGTACACGCGAGAAGCGATTTTCTTGCGCCGTCCGCATCCTTCCAGCCGGCTGAAAAATGCATTAGAACCGTTTCCCGGGCCGGCCGACACTCGTTTGTTCTCGATACTTTTCAATTCCAACTATTTCTCGCTTTTTAGGACATCGGAAAAACGCTGTAAGCCTGACCAGTACATCGAAACGCCTCCGCACACGGACACGAGCCCGCTATACCGCGACGCTGACGTAGATTTAACGATCGGAATTAACCGGGTTTGGGGAGAGATCTCCCTGGACCTATCGCGTGACCACCCACCTTTCGGGCCAGGATCCCTTGAAAAGTTCAATGGATGGCTATTTAGAAGACGTACCGCGCGTTAGATCGTCCTATTATCGAGGGAATTACGGTTGCCAGCCGCAGACAGTCGTCTTAGATAAGTTGTATCGCTCTGTTTTCTTAAAACAGCGTTCTGAACAGAGGATTGCCACTAACTCTTATCTGGACGGTTTATAACTTTCAGATGAAAAGTAGAATCCGAGGCATTCGTCAAACTTTTGTCAAAGCGATCAACTAGACTGCGAGGACTAGATCGTGGATCCTCATGCAAAATCAAAAGCAACGATTCTAAGAAACAGGGATCAAGTAAAAAATTTGTTTCGTAATAATTTTAGCAACTCGAAAATAATACGTCGATGTTTCTAGTTCTTCCGACGGTTCGCAATTCTTGTATCGCATCTTCTCGTTTCATCCAGAAATGCATCAAATCCACAGTCTAGTCTGATCACGGAGCCGTCGAAACTCCTCTGAACTTGTCCCGAAAGATATTTGTAACCCGTAAGAATTCAGAATTGCCTCGGAGATCGGCCGGGTGATCGAAAGAAGCTCTCCAAGCATATCAAGTGATATATGAACGCGGTTTTACCGTTTTCGCTTTCCTCGAGGACCGGAAAAGTCTCCGAGTCTCTCCGCGAAGATCGATGCTTATCAATTCTGCTGCGGAAGTAGCTATCCATAAAAATGTGTAGTAAAGTGGCCCAGATATCAGGGACAAAGATCTCCTCCTATCCGGAAACAGTCCATCGAGATCGCGCGATAGTTTCACGAGGTAATTTTGAGGGTTGCGATCGATCGCGAAGATCAAAGGTCCCGTCCGCAACCGCCCCCCCCCCCCTCGTTTCATTAGCGGAGAACACGAGGAGCATCGGGACCATTCTTGCCATTGTCTTCCGGAAGAGAGATCCCTTTATCTAATAGCGATTTGAAGGCGACGCGACGCCCGTGTCCGCCTTGTGAAAAGACGGGGAACCCGAAAGGGGAAGATTAGCTGGTCCGCGGGATGGCTTCGGCCGCGTTTCGCGGCACAATGGCCACTCGAACGGCCGCAGACGCTTCGGCGTGCGGATCCCGAACGCTGTAATAGATAGCCTTGATGTAACCGAACGGAATCAGATCCGTGATTTCGGCGGAGGGACCATTGTACCGCGCGTAATCCGATTCGGCGACGTGTTTGAGCCCGCGTTCGATTCGATTATCCGCAATGAGCTTCCTGGCTCCGCGGAGGGATGCGACGAATTATGCTGCGGACGGTGTAACGCACTTGTAAACACCGCGAACGGGTTTGTCGATGCGATCGGAGGACTCTAGCTCGGCTTTTGCGTTCCAGGGCTCGGCGATGAACACGAGTACAGACTGACGAAGCATCTCCTCGATGGATACGACGCCGGTGTACGACCCGCCAAGAACTCTTCTCAGCCGCTCGCCGTGGTCTTCGGCCTCTCCCTTCATCACATAATCGATGTCGTGAGTATACGCTGTTGTCCCGACATCTCGCAAGCTTCCCGATCGCATGTATATCGTGTCTTTTTACTGTAAGATCACCGAGGATTATTTAATATTAAACCTACCGCGGTCAAAGTGACCGCTTTCTTATTTTGCAATTCTGCAAAGTTTCGAGACTCTTTCGTGGAAAATGCTTGAATAAGTTATATTAGATCTACCGGAAAGTTCTATCCGTTTTTGAATTGAAATATAACACAATTTTCATACGTTTAATAATATTTATTGTAGAATATACTTTCCATCGTTACTGATGACTTCTTGCCAGCGTGATGGCAACTTGTAAATGCCATTTTTAAAAAATGATTTATTTTTAGAGGCGAAGAACTCAACTAGTGCTTGGTTGACATCAGCTTCAGTTTTGAATTTTTGTTCCTGTAAAAAGTTTTGCAAAGAGAGAAACAAGTGATAATCGGAGGGTGCTAGGTCTGGGGAGTATGGTGGATGCGACAGAATTTCCCAGCCTAGCTCTGCGATTTTCTGACGAGTCGCCAAAGCAGCATGTGGTCTGGCATTACCATCGGTAGCCATGTTTTCACGATCGCGTCTCTCTTAATAATGTCATGAGACATCTTTGTTTCAGTTTATTTAGGAGAGTACATGTGTGTAAATGCAATGATAAAGAGAGATAGTCATATATGTCTCAAATCAACGTGTGCATATGGATTGAAACTTGAAGCGACACTATCGGACAGAACTTTCCGGTAGACTTAATATTATTGGAGCAAGTTTTATAATGAAAACTTTATAAATTCTAAATAAATTCGGTCTTCTCACTTTCGTGAAGCAGTACACGCCAGTTAGTATTACTGCTTGGCAGGTTTAGTGTTAACGTCGACTTTTCGAACGCTTGCCGTGCCATTTTCGTCACAGTCGCAAACGATCGTAATTGTCTCGATCCTAATCTATTTCTTGGATGAATTTGATTCCGACTTAAAAGAACGAAATAACGTTAGTACTGTCCCCTTTGTGCGAGAAAGTTTAAACAAAATCCAGACTCACGATTGCCATTGCTGCTCCCATCTCTTTACATTTCGAGGGATCAAAGGTACATACCAAAGTGCAAGCATTCACAGCTGGGTCTCTTCTATTCGAAATATTCCTCAGGCTCTGGTCTTCTGTAGTATTTTTTCTATTTATACACGCGGTGAAGTATTTTACGTCTTCTGGGAACTTTATGTAAGATCGTTGCTTTCCTTTGATCCAATATGACCCGATTTTCTGGCAGATCAATATATAATTGGAACAGAGAATTGTGCTTAATTCGATGGGAATATTGGGTAAACTGTAAAATCGTATTCTTTGATGAAGCAGTGCAAACAAAATCAGGTTCGAACAATGAAGGTACGCTTCCCTTTCTTAGTTCCTTGTTGATTTTCGTCCGCCGCGGCGCACGCTTTAACTTTTCAATTCTTATTTCATTAAATATATATATATTGCAAAGTACAGTGAAATCTCCTTCCTGATTTTCCTCCAGCTTGTAAACAAAAATGGACGATGGACAATTTTTAGATTTGTCGATAATCGGTAACTATAAAAACGCGCCGCGAGGCTCGAATAAGGGAGATCTACAATTTGTAATTATAATGGAGAATTTACTGCAAAATAGATTTCTCGAAAACAAAAGACCGCGAACGGGGAACGCGATTATCTGAAGCGGAGCGTGAATCGGTATTAGCTTAAACTCTTTCCGCGACGATTCCTGACGAACGCGGGGAGGCCGCGGCGGTGGTGGCTTTATGGAAATTTGGCAAATTGCTGGAAATTGGTTAGGTCAGGTTGGACTCGTTCGATTCCGCGTCAATAGGAGATCCCTAGTAGTCGGCGGCGTGTTCCGTCAAAAACATCCGAATTCGCGGCATGAAAAATTCGTTTGTACCGGAGCGGTTTGAATAATGAGCTTCCCGCTCGCGGTGAATCGAAGTGGCTCGAGCAAAAGGAACTCGATAGCCTTTGAACCCCGTTACGGTGGGGAACGGTGTCTCTCTTTGAAGGTGGAAAAGTGTTCCGCGGATCGTGGCGAGGTGAAATAATATCGAAATCGAAAGGGGCTATCCCCGGACAAGGTACGGCGGAAGAATTTCCGCGCGGCCCGTTTCCCGAACGAAACGGGGACTTTTCGTGTATCCGGGTCAAGCCTACTCGGACCAGCATTAACATCCACTTCGCCGGAAGTATCGGCAGTCTGCGATACTGCCGCGTTTCAGCACGGCTAAATATCGATTTATATTCATTACGATATAGATATATATTTCTTTTTGCTGTCGCAGACACCGGCCTGGTGACAGGAAAAGAACAGAGAGAGAGAGGGAGAGAGAGAGAGAGAGAGTGCGTATATATATTGTATATGTGTGTGTATGTATGTATATATGATCCTTTCTCGTGGGACTGTGAAGCGTCGGGTAACCGGAAATGCCCAAGACAAATTGCCGTCGGAACACGTAAGCCCGATGGAAACTTCGAAAGATTTATCTCTCGTGTGTACCTAACGAGAATCATCTTTCACCCTACATATTTTCATCGCGACTCGCCTAAAGACACTTATTCTTTCCCAGCCGCGGTGATGCGCCACGGCGAATCCTGGAGCTTCGGTTGCCGCGATTTAAACCGGCGATTTGTCAACCACAGGAATTCTCCTCTCCACCCGAGGGACTAGTCGACTAGTCGCACTGATTTCTCATATTCAATGATCCGCTAATAAGAAGCGGATACATAAATATCGTGCGAGATGCTGCGACACGTTTCACTCTTCTAATCCTACGAGATGCTTAAAGTATCCTGCGATAAAATAGCCGAGACACCCTTGCAGGCAGTCCGCGAGTCACCTTTCATCTTTCTGTCAGTTAATCCTACGACGTGCTTGAAATATTCTGTATAAAATAATATAATATAGTATAATATTTTATATTATATTGTATCATATCATATAATATAATATTATATTATGAATTATATATTATATTATATCATATCATATAATATTACATTATATTATATCATATCATATAATATTATATAATATTATATCATATCATATAATATTACATTATATTATATTATGTTATATTATATTATATTATATGGTACAATATAACAATAAAATGATAATATTTCTAACATATCAAAATTGTTGGAGCTCGAGAGTATGCTTTTAGAAAAGTTTATAAAAGGCCGACGCGGGTCTGTTCATCGCCAACTGTTTCTCCTTACCAAAGAAGTAACTGGATGGACGTTGAGAGCGCTCGCGGGACTCCCGGTGTTGTTACAAAGGAAATATATCGTGTTCAGGAGGTTGAAAAGCATCGTATCGGTTTCGCGGACCCCTTTAATTGCGCCCGGAAAAGTACATTTCTTCCGACAGTGGTGTGGATCGTTTCTGGCGCGGATGCGTATATAAGACCGGTCTCTCAGTTGTTTGATTTGTCTCATCGCAGGACGAGAAGAACCAGATACTGACGACGAACTGTTGGGTCACGCAGGTCTGGACGGACCATCATCTGAAATGGAACGCCTCGGAGTTCGCTGGGATCCAGGTGATCCGCGTTCCGTACAACCGCGTCTGGAGGCCCGACACCATTCTTTACAACAAGTAAGACACTGGAGCGATTCTACTCGGCGATCGAACCGGCGACAATTAAATCCGTGTCGTGGGGATCTTCGCGCTACCGATCTTAGCGTTACCGATCGTTAACAACTGTAAAAACGAGTCGCAATTGTCCATTTCCCAGTTGTCCAATCGTTAATTCTTTCTCTTTTTCGTACAATCTGAGCATCAATTAGGGAGAATTTGATGCCACGAGCATCGTAGAATTGTCGAAGCAATTGTGAAAATCTACCGAGCAAGATGGTCGCGAAAGCATCATAGAATCGATTCGAAAAGTAGTAGCAGCTATCGATTGCCCGAGAGGAGAGACTCGTCGCGATTTCTTCTCCCCGATATTACCCAATATGCTCCGCTTTGTTTACAGCGCAGATCCGCAATACAGCTCGGCGGTCATCAATACGAACGTGATCGTCAGCCACACGGGGGAAGTGGTGTGGCTCAGTCACGGCATCTTTCGCAGCAGCTGCGACATCGACGTCGAGTTCTTCCCGTTCGATGAGCAACGATGCGTCTTGAAGTGGGCATCGTGGACCTACGATGGCTACCAAGTAAGACATCTACACGTAGCGTCCAACGTCTCAGTCCACCACATTCCTCGCTACAATTTTTAGCCGAGGCCAAGAACCATCCAAGAACACGATCCTAGAACAGGAAACATTCGACAGACTCTAGGAACTGGCTTACCGGCGTTTCCCATCGAATTAGCTCCGTCAAAGCGTAGCGCACGAACGGTAGAAAGCGTAGAAACAAATGTTCCACTCGCTTGCTCTTTATGGAATTAGTCTTAGAGGTTTATCGATCGTTTCTGTCAAGTAGAGAAGCGTTCAGAATTGATTAGACAATTTCTATTACTTCTCTCATTGTCAGAGAGCAGACACGTCTCATTCTCAAATCCGAGCAGACACGAACTTTTGCATAAAGTAAAAATTGCCAGAATCGATTAACGCTCTTTTTCGAGAAATAGAACTGGTCGTAATTGATCGGACGTACCTTTCCAACAAGTTAGAAGCGGTCAGAATCGATCGGATGCTCTGCTGCAAGCGAGTAGAAGTGTTCGGAATCGGTCGGACAATTTCTGTGATACTTGTCAGCGCGAGTAGCAGCGGGCGAGACGTGATATCAGCCACGTCGAATCACTTAAAATTCATGCGCGATCTACTTGAAATTTTATTTTCATTTTCTGTAAGCCGCGGGGAGCCAGCGGGAAATTTTCTTTCTTCCACGCTTTCTACCAATTTTTTCGCCGCTTCCGACACCGTTTAAGAGACGATTCTTCGCCGCGCGACCAAGACTTCTTCCCGGTCACGCTCGTGAATTCGTTAGCCGGCGCGGGAACTCGGGCAAGTTCTTGCCGGTTCTTGCAACGCGATGCACCATGCAAATTCACCGGGGCCAGAAGTTCTTGATCGGCGGTTAGGCGATTTAATCGGACAGCTTGTGCGACCTGCATCCGCGTCTCTGTTGCCCTCGATTCCGAACAGTTTCCTCCCTTGGGACGGCATGCAAATCGCGAGGCGATATATAGGGTCGGTTCCCGACGTCGGCGGACAATAAACAATACATATACAATATATATATATATATATATATATATATATATATATATATATATGCATGTGTGTGTATGTATATATATGCCGGGGGAACCTTGAACGCTCGACGCGGTGACCAACTTTTTTCTCCCGTTTTCCCGTCTCGGGAAATCCTGCGATCGGACGACTGCCTCTCCATTTCTCGAGGAACGAGCTCTCGGATTAGATCGAGGCCTGGTTCTTCGTTATTGTGCTCGCCTCCTCTTAAAAATCTCGGCGTTCTCTGGCTTCCTGCGGATCCACGGAATTAAAAAGGCTCACAGTCAATGCGGTCTGCTCGCGCGACTACAAACTCGAGGGCTCCAGACTGCAGCCGGTGAAACTTCAGACATAAAATACCGCGACTCCGAAATTAATATAGTCACCGGAAAATTGCTGGAATTCTCCTCGTTAGAGAGAACATTATGCCGTTACGTTTCGGATCCTCGACCATTAGAGCCCTTCGTCGTGCTCGTACATTTATAATTCAACAACGAATAATACGGTTACAGAAATATTTTGCATTGGTGTTCTTCGAAGCAATCTTTTTGCCAAACAACAGCACACGTTTCCATTTAGATCCAGCTCCGGTAGAGCCCTTTGCAGGGCTCCTATTCTGGATCTCCGTGCAAAATTGTGTCGGTGGAATTCAATATGGTGAGAGCGTCGGAAGCATTTTACAATCGTGGAACGTGTACAAGCTGCCATACGCTGGCCGTGGGCAGGATAGCCAGATTTCACGGAGAGAGAGAGAGAGAGAGGCCGAGCTTTCGCGAGTCCAGAGACGCTTAACAGGCGCAAATCGAAAATACCGGCTCGGCAAGTCGCGAAAATGGCCCGGGCAAATCGAACAGCTTAATCCCGCATGCGAGAAGAGTTGAATGCGAGGCCCGCGAGCCCACCCTTTCACCGAGTTTTCCCATTTCCTATTCCGACGTTGAATACATTTTGCGTTTTTGTCGTCTAAAACGATGGGAATACGATTCCGGGATTAGGCGCCACCGAAATATCCATCTGCGAAATCTTTCCGGCGCCTATTCTTTATTATTTACCACCGCGAAATATCTCCTCGGCGACGATCCCGTTCCATACTTTATACAAGATCGTGCTATCGTTTGTCTTACCATTATTTTGGAACTGTGCGTGACGATTTATCGTTCATAGAAGTATGTATCTCGATGCAGGAATCAGACACGGCGAGATGTCAAATGGAGATTAACGCTTCTTATTATCACACTTTCTATGCGATTATTAAATGCACAGTAGAGCAGCGATTATCCGAGCTAGTCTGAAGAACGCGAACGTGCGAATAATAGAGTAGTTGGTTGAATACAGTGCTAGATTAGATTCCTAATGATTTTTGCAACAAATTGTGTTGTATATGGACTATGTTACGCCGAGCTATTAACCCTTTGCACTCGGATGTCAAAGTGACATCTTTATTTAATTATTATTTTCCTTCGTACTATGAAACCTTCGTTGTGTAAAATGCATAATTAAAAACACAAAATTTGTTATTTATCAGTTCCTATAAAATTTCTGAGCAGCATCATGATTTTTCTGTCAATTGGAATTTATATAACGAAATCTGAATGTTTGCAAAATCTGTTCCGAGTGCAAAGGGTTATTATTATCTTATTTTTTTTATTATTATTTATCTTATTATCTTATCGCTATTATTAAAGGGTAATTATTATCTTCCTTCACACTATAAAACCGTCGTCGCGTAAAATGCATAATTAAAAACACAAAATTTGTTATTTATCAGTTCCTATAAAATTTTTGAGCAGCATCATGATTCTTCTTTCAATTCGAATTTATGTAACGAAATCTGAATGTTTGCAAAATCTGTTCCGAGTGCAAAGGGTTAACTGATAACACAGATGTGTATAAGAGACAGCTATAAAACCGTCGTCGCGTAAAATGCATAATTAAAAACACAAAATTTGTTATTTATCAGTTCCTATAAAATTTTTGAGCAGCATCATGATTCTTCTTTCAATTCGAATTTATGTAACGAAATCTGAATGTTTGCAAAATCTGTTCCGAGTGCAAAGGGTTAACTGATAACACGCATTTGGATAATCGAAGTTCTACTTGTAAATAATAACGCAAACGTTGGGACACCACCACGTAAAATTCTTCGATAGGTAAAAAAATTGTGCTAGATTTGCACGCACAGGACCGTAAAGTCCCGCAGATATTTTTCAGCGTTGTGCCACGAGGCATCTGCCAATTTATTTCACGTTCGAAACTGCTCAGTCCGGTCTCTCGGAAACTATACACGTTAACACATCGGGCGTGCACGTAAAACGCAGCATCCTTCCGTCGCTGGTAATCCGTCCGGCGGATAGAAGTATCCCATTTCCGCTGTCCCGTCGCGTCAAACACGGTTTCCCGGCCGCTGCGTTTTTCCTGTCCGACACCTATCCACCGGCTTGTCTCGCGGCGATAGTGCTCGAAACGCTGACACGTAATCGGTTCTCGCACCCGCCGGCACTAACTCGAGGAGACGGTTTAACACTTTTAATCCTGCACCAACGCGCGGCGTCCGGTAATTGACCGTGTCCACGGGAACGTTTCGCGATCGGCCCGGTCAGATTCCGGGGGAATTTTTTATTGACGCGATCGGCCGAATTTCTAGGTCTTTTTTTCGGCTCGAGAGGAACCGCTTTCGTATCCACCGTTCAACAGAGATTATTCTCGACGAATCGGCTGGCCGATTTAACGCTGCCGTTTCACGAATTTATTTAAGAAAATTACGAATTCTGCGCTCTTCCGTGACCCAAGTTGAACATTCTTGTATCCGCTGTGCGAGAGAAATTATTCTTGGCGGATCGGGTCTTCGAACCGACGTCGTTCCAAAGCGATTCGTCCCGCGAGGCTTGCTATCGTCGACGAACGCGACCAGCCGAGTTCTTTGCCATGTTTCAGCTCGAGCTGGAGAGACAAAGCGAGCAAGGCGATATCAGCAACTATCAGGCGAACGGCGAGTTCGATCTGCTCGACTTCTCGGCGCGAAGGAACGTCGAGTACTATTCGTGCTGCCCGGAACCGTACCCCGACATCACTTACGAGATCCGACTGCGACGACGTCCGATGTTCTACGTGTTTAACTTGATCCTCCCCTGCATACTCATCAACGGTGTCGGTGAGTCCGGGAAGTTAGCCCGATAAGTATAATACAATCACGAGCAGAGCATCCCCCTACCCCCGTCGTTCTTCTTATGAAACTCGGGCTTACTCCTCCCCGCGCGACATCCGCGAAAGATGCAATCTTCTTTGCAAGAGGGTCAAGTGCCCTTATCGTGTACCTGATGGAAATTTCATTAAAAACTCTCGAATCGCGATGCACGCGGGGGTAGGAAGAAGGAAATACCTGCCTCATGGAATCTTTTTTTTTAGCTAAATAGCTACTTCGCCGATGGACGGCCCTTGGGATTAAGAACGATTTCGCCCAGTCGGAGATGCTCTCGCGCTCGTTGCACAGTGATTTCGATATTTAACGTTCGACTCGTTCCACAGGGTGTCCCGAAATTATTTTATAAGCGAGAAATGAGGGATCGCTGGGGTCATTTGAGATTTGCTGGCGCGAGACGACGGCCGAGCCAATGAGAGGCCGCTTCGTGCCAGCTGATCTCGTCTCTCGTTGGTCACTATTTATTCTTAATAACTCGTAAAAAATGCCGCGGATTGCATTTTCGCGAAGGAAACAATTACTTCAAATGACCTCAAGACTCCCTCATCTCTCGCTTGTACAATAATTTTAGGACACCCTGTATATTTTAATCGCGAGAACGCCCGGGCACGAGTGTTTCGCATGTTCTCGTGTGTACCTATAAATTGTATAAAAATTCTGGGACCCCGGATACATGGAAATTTTATTGCAGAAGGTCAAGCGTCCGGCTACCCTATGCTCGAAGGGTCGAACATTGCAACCCCTTCGGCTATCAGATTCGATTATCTTTCGGTTTCAACGTTCATCCCCCTCCCCCTTCTGGTGGCATATTTTAAAGATAATTTCTGTAGGAACGAGCGCATAAACCTCCATGATTAAACTCGTTTAACGAAAGACGGTAGGAATGTCCTTTCGCGGTAGGGAAATTTATGCGGAACTTTCTTCGCCGTGGTCCCCACGGTTTTTCCCCCTTTTTATTTCTCCGTTCGTCGCGGGAGGACGAACTTTTCGGAGAATGCCTTCTGTTCGATATTCCGCGGCGAGAACGGGGGGTGGGTGAGGGTGGCACCGGTCGAGAAAGGAAAACTTTCTCAGCCGATCTGTTCTATGTGACGGTTTATTCAGCGCTGTTGGTATTCTACGTGCCGTCCGAATCCGGCGAGAAAGTCACCCTTGGGATTTCGGCGTTGCTGTCGATGACCGTCTTCCTGATGACCATTCGCGAGACCCTGCCGCCCACCGAGAAGACGCCGCTTATCAGTGAGTACAGACGCTGCGCGCAGAACCCCTTGGAATCGCTGTTATCCTCTCATTTACACGAAAGCCGCAAGGGATTGTACGTATTTCCGCGCCCTCTTTCTATGGAACGATTTATGTCCGACAAAGACCTCGACGGGGTTGAAAGCAGAGGTTTCGCCGTTTAAGATCGGCTAAATCGCGTCGTCGTGCGATCATTTTGTTCGCAAAGTTATCGAGGGGATGATTGGAACGAAGGGTAGAATTAACAGTTCTCGATTCGGTGTAGATCGGAAAGAATTGAAATAAATCGGACACGTGAAATATACATTTTTTCGCCTGCTCGCACAATCGTCCCCGGCGCGGCCTGCGAAAGGAATAATTCCATAGACTGTGCGGCCATTATTTCGATCCATTGGAACGTGAAGCACCTCCGGATATTTTCATTTGCATCGGCCCCGTTAGAAAAAGGCTGCCGGCGAAATAATCAGCAGCTCGGGTCCAGATATAACGAGAAACGAACCGATACAGCGTTTCCGCGGGCCGTTGACGTAACCGCGTTGATTGAAAATTCCCAGGTGTCCCGTTTGAGAGCCATCCGACACGGGATCGCCCCCGGTTTCAAGAAGTATCCCGTGTGGCCTACACCCGGCCCGGAAACTTTGTAATTGCAGCGACGAATTAATTTATGCAAAAGGCGCGATTCCACGGGGCTCCGAATTAGCGACGGTTAATCCAGACTTTAATCGTCGCCTGTGTGTCGTCACCAGGTCTCTACTACGGTGTCAGCATATGCCTGGTGTCGTTCGCTTCCGGACTGGCCGTGGTCACGCTGAACGTTCACCATAGAGGGGTGCGGGGCACCAGGGTGCCCACCATTGTCAGGTCTTTGGTGCTGGACAAGCTGGCCAGAGTGGTTTTCCTGAACTTCCAAGAGGAGAAGAGATCGGTAACGTATATTCCGCTTCAAGGTAGACTGCTTTTCCTTCGATGGTTTTGCCCAGTTCCACCCAAAATCCTGCTAGATCACCTAGAGTAGCCAAGGTCCATCAGAAAAGTATAGTCGAATAAACTCTGAAGTACTTTCAATAAAAATGCTGCATTGTCTGTAACGAAACATTCCCCTTTCAGGAGCAGATGGAGCCTCCTCGAAGAAGGAACAACTGTCCACTGCACTGCAAACCGGAAGTGTCGCAGTCCCAGTCGTCGCCCAAATTCATGAGCAAACGAGAGGACAGCAATAGCAGCAGTCCCAGTTTGGGTGAGTCCCCCAGCTACCAATGAGCTTGGCAAGAACACGCTCCCAACGTCTGATTCGCAATAAATTAGAGGGAAACAAAAAACCTGCAGATCTCGGGAAAGAGGGTGGCCTTGAGGCGCAATGGTCCCGGGTGCTGGGAAGAGTGCACGCGACCATAGAGAGAAACGAGAGACGACTAACCGAGCAGGATCGAAGAGAGAGAACCGAGCTGGATTGGAAACAGGTCGCTTTAGTCAGCGACCGGGCTTTGCTCTGTGTTTTTTTCCTGACGACCATTGTCAGCACCACTGTCATCCTGTGCGGCTCTCCGCCGACCACGAACATTGCCAAAGAGAGCGGAGACAATGGCCGCTGACCGGAAACCATGACTAATTAAGGATAACGTCGACGCCTTATCGACGGAGCGCCGGAGCGCCGATCGCTTGCATCTAACAAGGGAAAATCTCCATCCAAGAATTTATGAAACTTTCAGAACTTGTAACGCAGATATAGGTACCTATTATGCTATTTCATTTTGCAATCTACATTCGCTCTAAGGAATTTGAATTGACAACGCAAAGTTTGCTCTCCGTACGACAGATTAAGCTGACGCACTTCTGCGTCATCCGTAACAGATGACTTATCGAGTTCTCCGTTGATAAGGTGTTGAGGTCGGTGTGATTTTTTGACACGAGTCAATTTCGGTTCGCTTTTAGAAACGGAGAATTATGTCTCTCTCTTCCTTTTTTATATGATAAAAGACGAAGTCGAGGTACATTCTGTAAATAACACGCGCATCGAGGAGAGCTCTTGGCATACTTTTAAGTCCGTTGGGTATAAGTGTTCTAGGGGTAAGATGTATGGTTTAATAATAAACTCTTTTCTCTGTGTTAATCTTAAGGATAATGTACCTTTACTATAAATATTTGTTATAAATATATGTCTGGGTATATTATAAAAATCTTATTGGTGTAGAAAAGTACTTTAGTAGTAGTCAGGTACAGGCGCACAAGCTATCTTCACAAAGTCCTCGTATTTCACGTGTCCATTCAGGGACACATTAGCCTCGCGGAAGATTTGCTCCACTGTGAAATAGTCGTATTAGTTATTAAGTTCAATTTCTTCGATGATTTGATCGTTTCTCTATATTATGTGCAACCTTCTTTGTTACTTAGTTGTTCACCCCAGTGAAGCAGCATGTGAGCCAGTTGGCGGGCAGGTATGGTACCATTCCTAGACTTGTCTGCAGCCTGAAAGGCCTGTATCACCTCCTTCGGAAGATCCTCCGCCCTAGTCTGTAGATGCATCACCTCCAAAAAGTCAGCAAACGACATCTTCCCACCTGGAAATCTTGTTTTAGTTGTCTCCCTTCATTGTAAGTTCTTTTAATTAATTTACATTGTTGTATACCTTTCTCCTTTAAATATTTATTCAACTCTGCTATAGTGGGACTTAGTCCCAGGGATCTCATGATGATCGTGAGTTCGTCCAGAGTTCTTATGTGGCCGTTTCTTGCAAATAAATAAAAACACTCCCTGAATTCTGCGGAAAGGAGTAATTTTAATAATAAAAAGATTCATGGAATTTTTATACATAGTTTTAGTACTTACTTAGTTACATACTTAGTTATTGGAGAGTGTACGTACCATCTATGTCTTCTTCGCGGAAGTAACGAGCCTAAAACAATGATCTTAATTAGTGTATACAAAAAAACCATGTTGAATAGTTCCTTGAAAATGCCTAGAGATCATAGTCCAACAATTAGTGTTTAAGTAAGCGCTGCATAATTACCATAATTATTATTATTTAAAGCCAAAACACTTGTTAGGAGTTATAGCTTCGCTTTCTACCTGTTGTTTACGTGTCACATAACGTTACCTGAGGTGAAGCTGGGTTGTTCGACCCAACTGCACCTGAACATCTGTTGTTGTACGAAGGCGACATCTTCTGAACACGGCCCAAGCTTCTCCGCGTAATAATCGGTTATCATCCGCGATACAGGAGGCTCCAATTAATTTTTTAAATCGGTAAGAATCGATTTCATCGAAGGTTTTATACGCTAATTGAATTTTCAAGCGTCACGACATTCACATTTCATATTGTTTTAACTGTACAAATAGCTGTCCTCGTGTTTGCGAACGTAAAGTCCTCCGGGACCACGTTTAATTATCACCCGCTGTCCATCAATCTTTATTTAATTTTCAGCAGACCGTAAATATTAATTGAGCAGTTAAACTGAACATGTTAACTCAATCTCAAAATATCGCGACACTTAAATTTGATTTTATTTCAGTTCGCACGACCATTTCATGGCCCTTCCTTCCCGTTCCTTCGACATCCGTGAACTGGAAATAGGTATGCAACTACCACCCTCGTTGAGTAAACAACCTAAATCGAGTCAAATAAATTTGATATTCATAGAAAACAGTTCTTCCGATTGATTGAAGAAACGGTATTAGTTCATTCTAAAGGATCGAATATATTATTATTGTAGGAGACATCGTTATAATGATCGAGGTTCCTTAAAGAAGAAGACAAGTCCTTGACATTTACCATTCCCAAAGCGCCTCGGCACAAGGGAAACAAACCGTTTCGTCGCTACAAAGACACTGAATCATCGCTGCGGAACAGAGAAAAAAGGAACAAGGTAGATGACACGGAAAAAAACAACGACAGTTTCACGGAAGAATCAGCAATTTACATGAGCAGACCTTCGCCCGTCCTTCGCCTGGACAGAATCATCGCTGCAACATTGTAGACACACAAATATCATTTAATTGACACAAAGGACGGACAGGATACAGCCCCTGGACCACGGTGCCCGGGTCTACCTTGAACCAGGTTTCCAATATTATACTACTGAATGTTAATGGCACGGTTCTCTAAAGGTTTAATGGTCAGCTGTTTGGTCGGGCGACCTTTAAAAATATCAGACTATCCCGGAAATTCTTCTGGAATACCGGTCTCCAGTCTCGGCAACATTTAGACTAAAATACACTTGAAAGATTCTACAATTAAGGTTAAATTAAGGGCGTAAGCGTTCGGAATCGCTCTGGCCAGCAGGTCCACGCGGTTCCGGGGGTAGAAATGCACAGCCCGGTGAAATCTTCCCCTGCGTTTCCGTAGCCCGAAGGGTTGCCAGGGGTTTGCCGGAGGGGCGGTAGGAGCGTAGGAAGTTGATCGCGGTCCCTTCGATCGCCCTTCCGCTTCGGGGGAGAGCGCACCTTTCCTTCGACCGACGGCTAAGGTCAAGTTACACGTGTAGGTGGGGGTCGTCCGCGCGTGGGTGGTAGGGTTGAAAGGGGGATGGTGGTGGAACGTGGCAGTATTGGAAAGCGTTGGTTCGCGTCGCGTCGCGAGGAAAGGACCTCTGGTCGGACGAGGAGAGCGTTATCAGGGATGGGAGCGCGAGCGATAGAGAGAGCGATATAGTTGATAAAACGGCGAGAAGGGAGGGGGTGTAGCGCACAGCTGGGTCGAAGGCGAGACTGGTAGGGGAAGTCGTTGTCCTCGGAGAGCGTTGGTCGGCGCGGCGCGAGTCACGAGTGATCCCGTCAGTGCGACGCGGAACGCGTTCCTGGTCGGGTTGACGCTCGTGGGTCACCTCGGACCCATCCCATCTCTTTTCTCTCTGTCTCTCCTCTTCTGTCTCTCCGGTTTTTCTCGCTCCTTCTCTCCATCTCTCTCTCTGTTTCGCCGGAGAGAGAGAGAGAGAAACCACGTTGTACGCGCGGCAGGACGAGAGATCTGTATAGGGTGTTCTGTGTGTTGAGTGCCTCGCTGTTCCGTACCCCCGCGGGTCTGTGTGCGTGCGGCAGGGTGCGTAGAAGTTAGTGGTGGTGCGACAGAATGCGGTACAACGACCGCATAAATGAGTAATCGAGCGAGAACCGGTCGGAAGGACGAGGATCCCGGCGGAAAGGACGCCAGCCCGTCGCAGGACTCCAGCCGCTGTGCATAGGTAGGTGTCAGATAGTACGCGAGAGTCAGCGAGCACGCGCAATATTCTACGTGCTCTTCTCCCTCTGTATTTCCAGTCCCCCTATCTCTCTCTCTCTCTCGCTCTCGCTCGCTCACCCTTTCTCTCTCTTTTCGGCTTTACTCTCTCCGCCTCTCTGTCTCTCGTTCGCGCGACCAACGTTTGCTTCTTCTCTTTTTTTTAGTATTTTTCTCTCTGTCTCTCTCGTGCAGCCTCGTCTCTCCTCTTCTCTCTGGAGAGACAGAGAGAGAGAGAGAGTGAGAGATATGTCGTTCTTTCTCTGTGGTTCCTGCGTCCCTCGCACACATTCTCCCGCACGTATACCTGTCGAAGGGAATGGTAAGTCGCCCGAGTACCATGCCAGATTTCTCTCTCTCCTTCTCTCTGTCTCTTTCTCTTTTTCTCTTTCTCTCCGCCTCTCCCTTTCTCTCCGACTGTCTCACTGCCAGTCGGCTTAGGGTACGTTTACACTGACGCGGTTATTGTCAGCGCATCGGGAATCGTGACACGCTGACTTTTGTGCCGTTGCGTGTCCCGCGGGCTTCGGCCGATTGCTCGTTTTCACCGTGAATTCGGAATTCGCATAAATGTCAGTCCTCGAAAAATGAAAATTGACGCGCAGCCTCTGCTCGCCGGAGTCCGGCGGAAAGGTCTTCTAAACATTGTGGAGCATGTAATCCGTAAATTTTGCGATCGGTACGGACGCTTCCGGCAAGCTTCGTTCGTTTCGTCATTCATGTTCCAGCTTCTGCGATTCGGCGGACCGGAAAATCGCGGATTTATTCGCGTTCGATTCTTCCCGGGGACACAGAGTATAGGCACAGCGTAAACGTCGTGCAGCGGCGCGGCGTGAACGTCTCCGCGTAGATCATTGTCCGCAACAATATAGACAGATCAATTTATATTGTATCAATCTATGTTTTCCCCGATGTTTACGAGCGCCGCGCATCCAGCGTGCGACATTAAACGCAAGCGCCACGTTGTGTCGTAAACGTCCTTTATTTCCGAGTTAAATTCTTCGAGCCTCGGTGCAGTTATAATGCCCGCAATTAATGCTCGGCTACCGTCTGGTTAAACCAAAACCGAATCTCTGAGAACGAAATGCAGATAGAACTCCGTCGTCGATTCAGGGGAGTTCTTTCAGCTGTTAACCCTTAGAGCTCTATGGACGCATATATGCGTTTGGCGAAAGTCATCCGTGTAGCCTAAGGCCGCATTTATGTGTTTTCTCTAAGTCATCGGCCTGGACTAAGGGCGCATATATGCGTTTGTCGATTTTTTTCAATCAATATGCAGTTATTTTCGTGTAAAATTAATACAGGGGCACTCGTTAGTAATTTGCCTTCCTTATAAGTAGCGGTTGGGCAATATTAGGGTCATAAAAATCCCCGGGAATTTCCGAAACGGAAATCCCATTTTATGTGTCCCACTCTCTAACCAATTAGATTTCAAAATAATTACCTGCACTGTCACGTTTTCGCGGCTCAAAGCACTCGAAACGACTCAGTCAGCAGTATCGTCTTGTATAATTTATTACTGTTTGCGCCTTGAATAGTCACTTCAGTGTGGAAAAAAAGTATTCCGCCCGCAGCGATGGTCAGCGATAACCGCGCTCCGTCCCTACGAACCGTTTCGGCCAGGAGTATTCAGAGCTCAAAAGGTTAAAGAAAAAGGATTGTTTAAACGAGTAAAAAGTTGCGAGGAAATGTAGCAAAGCGAAAAGAGTAAGAACGCGTGTGCCCAAAGGGTTACCTCGTTCGCAGAGCTAAGAATGAGCGTTGATTTTTGGGGACCATGCACACGTGCTCTTATGGAGGGTGTGCCGGTACAAAAACGAAAGTTTGTCACGGACCGGAATGTCGTCGTTCGAACGTCGAAGCCAGAAGTTTCTTGGACTCGACGAGCGGAAGGATGCACCGAAGGTTCGAGCGCCGGTTCGTGCAGCGTATTGTAATTCTTACGTAACGAGACGCCGTTACACCGGCGTCCTGTTACACGGCCGTAAACATTGCTTCCCGACGTTGAACTTTCCACCGAAAACGGCCGCGGTTTCTCGGCGCCGATGTAAACGCGCCCTTATCGTCCGACATACCGTGGTTACATACCCCAAACGTTTCCACGCTGCCAGTTCAGCCAGAACTGCACCTGTTACTTATATAGTCCATTTTTCCGTCACCTGGCCGCACACGAAACGCTGCTCGCTTCGCTCCCGGCGAGGAAAAACTGCCACCTTTTTCACGCACGACGGTCATTTCCCTTTTCCGCGTCAACCCCTCCGCCGACGCGACGCCTACCTCCGCAAGAGATCGCGCGCCCTAAGGGAGCAGTCCTTGGCATCCGCCTTGACGGATTCGTTGCAGTTTCATTCACTCAGCGGTTGCACGTTCTCTCGTTTCCTTTCGTTCCCCATTATTCCATTATTTTATTCTATTATTTCCCGAAGACTGAGAGGGTTGAGGGGGGATGAAACGAATCTTCTTATCAGTGCCATCTTTTTCGGACGATTTTTCGGCGAAGCGACGTCGAGGTTCAATTCTTCCGCGGTTGAATTTTTCAATCGCTTTCGGCTCGTTTAACCGTTTCACGGTGGATGAAACGAAGGTACTAATCTTCCGAGAACGACGACGTCGATGACGATCAACAGCCGACCTGTCCTCGGATATCTCCCGGCAATCGATTAGCATCCAAATGAAAGAAGCAAGCAACGGGCGGGCTAAGAAGCGGAATTGAATGGAAAAGCACGCACCGGTGGCGCACGATGACTTTCAATTCCGCGGCGAAAGGGTTGAAGGGCTCCCCAGGGGGGCGAAGAAACGCGAGAAAAGAGGATCCTCCGGGGCGCGCGGGGCGGGGGAACAGGCGAGACGAGAGGAGAGCGAGAGTCAAAGGGATCGCGACGGTTATCTGTGTGGGAAATTGCGAAAGTTGGGAGCGAGAGTTTAATTGTCGTTTAACGGGAAAAGCGAGCGTTAAACGCGAGCGGTCGGATATCGGGTCGGCGCGCGTGTAACGGCCGTTGCATAAGGATGCTTATCTGCGTGAAAGTTACATTATAATAAAAAGAATGATCGTCTCTTGGTTAGAGCGCTCTCTCTCCCCCCTCTCTCTCTTTCTCTTTCTCTCGTCCTCGTCTTCTTTCTCTCGCTTTCTCTATCCGTCTCTCTTGGGAAACAGCAGCCTTAAGGAACCCTCCGAGGCCTCGAGAAGGAGCTTCAAGACTCATTAGCGTTATCAGACGATGAACTTTCCGGCGGAACCGTGTAATTGCCGGCAGCGTTCGTGTCCGGCGCGGCGACGGAAACATTTACATCGGCTTCGAAAATCGCCCCGGGACCGAACGAATCCTATAGCCAGTTCCGTTAATTGTGCCGTCGTCGATTCACCGCGGACCGGGAATTAATAATCGACCGTTGATTGTAACGCCGCGCCGCGTCGCGTCCCGTCGCGACGGGCCGCTCGCTAATTAACGATTCCGCGACTCCCTTAGCTTCTCTTACACGGCTGGTCGCCCGCGTTTGCTGCACCTCGAAGATCCTCGTCCCGGAATTTGTTACGTCGGCCATTCGATCCGAGAGTTTCGTTAACTATACGCAACGATAAGTAAGCTTCGAACAAACTCGTAAACTAGAATTAATAATCCAGCCACGATGTAATCCTGAGTGGACGAGTTCAGCTTCCCGGATCGGGGGCAACAATGTTCGTTGCCTATCGTAAACGTCGAATTAATAATCGAGGCACGTTCGTCCGGCTTCGTCTTTAACCCCAGATTACGATGCCTTCGCGGTGAATCACGTTATTACGAAACTTTCGTCAAACGGCTCAAGGGAAACCCTTAACGTGTAACGTGACGTTAGTCCTTTTTTATCGACCGTTTGGCAGACGGCTTGGAGACGATTGAACGAGCAAGATTTTTGCGAACGTAATACAAATCGACCAAACAATAAATGTGTTTCATCAAACGCGAGAAACAGAGGGCAAGACGGAAGCTTTTTTCTCTTTCGAATAATTTCTTATTTAGTTCTTGCGTCCAACGATCGATTAAAACGTTTACTATTTTCGTATACTATACGAATACTATACTGTCACTATAAATGGTTGCAGCACAGAAAATAATTGCGAGCATCGATAGAGCGGCTCCTGGGCTTTGAAATGGCATTCTTGTCGAAATCAGTGATCGGGTTTCTGCGTTTCTCGAAATCAATTCGTGGTTCACGTATAATCTAATCTACTCTATTCGAAAGTGGACTCTTCAAGCTTCGATTTAAGCTGAATTGTGTTAAAAACATTTCACGCGAATGCAATTTTAAATCACTTCCAAACTACGCTCGAGGATCGAGTCGTATTGCTCCGAATCAGCTGACCAAGGTTTTCTATTTCTCCAATCGTCTCAGCGATTTTTTCTTTTAATGAAGATGACCTCTTCTGAAAGTAGATTCTTCAAGCTTCAATTCAAGCTCAACAACGTTGAAAAATTCCTACGATAATGCCACTTTGAATCAATTTCAAGTTACCCTTGAAAATTGAAACGAGACATTTTCCATGGAAACAGCTCTCTGTGTTTTTAAATTTTTCGGAATGTCTTCGAATACATTTAAAACAACAATGGCTCTATCTCGAAGTAGGCTCTTCAAGCTTCAATTCAAGCTGAATCACGTTAAAAACGTTTCACGTGAATGCAACTTTAAATCACTTCGAAACTACGCTCGAAAATCAAGTCGTACTGCTCCGAATCAGCTGACCAAGATTTTCTATTTCTCCAATCGTCTCAGCGATTTTTTCTTTTAACGAAGATGACCTCTTCTGAAAGTAGATCCTTCAAGCTTCAATTCAAGCTCAACAACGTTGAAAAATTCCTACGATATTGCAACTTTGAATCAATTTCAAGCTACCCTTGAAAATTGAAACGAGACCCACGGCTATCCACGTGTTTCCTATTTTTCCAACCGTCCTCGCGATCTTATCCACGTTTCATTATCAGCTCC